CCTAAAAAAAAAAAAAAACTAACCGGGTACTCAACTAACTGAAGAAGTAATAACAGCTGAGAAACATGATGGGAGATATGCATCATAAACATCAGAACAATACAGTTACGACAGCCACAATCAATCGGAAGTAAGTTTAAAAATCCTGAGATATGGTGTATATACAGTATTTAGGACTAGGAGATTAGGCTTGATATACAGTCACACTTCAAAAACATCCAAAACTCCAAAGTGGTGCTGCTGCAGGATTATTTTCACTACCTCCCCAACCACTTACTACTAAGCGGCCATAATGATAATGCCTTTAATGAAAAGCAAAATTAAGCAAAACAACGAGAAGCCAATATTTACCTAACACTGCATCACTGCCATTATCAATGAACGCGTCCTGACTTATCGAGCATGAAGAATTGCTTTGATGAGCGACGAAATCCTGCGAAAAAAAATCAACGTCTTCCTTTGCACTTTTTTCTTCAGATCCTTCATCCGCTGTCAAATCGCTACTTTCCATCATCAAAGAAGTGCCATGCTGCCGATGTGCTTCCAGTGCTAGTGAGGCTAATTTTTCCTGAAAATAAAAGAGCGGTGTAGTTTATAAGATAGTTCTTAGACCGATAGGCAAACTTATCAGTGCCCATACAAAAGATCATATAGTCTAGTCAGACGGGCACATTAAGAGGAATTTAGCTATAACTCTAAAACTTTTTTCAGTAATTGAAGAATGTTTAATAGTGCAATTATATTTATGCTAATTACAGTGACCTGCCTTCTCAGAAAAACGAAAGACATGGAACAGTTTTTAGAAATGACTGTTTATGCACAATTATTAGAAAAAAGTCGGCGGAAAAAACTATTCAAATAATGACATTTAGAAGAAAAAGCGAAAAAGCAACTACAGTTCACGTGTTTCGAATACATCAAACAAAAGACAGAAAAATTTGTACTTTATACAAATTTGAAGCTCTGCTGTTATATTTTTGTTGAGCATCATTTGTATTACATCCATGCTGCTTGAAAAAATTGTTCTGAAAAGGAGACATATCATGGTCGACCACCTTTTCATTTTGTTCATAGAAGTATACATATAAGCAAAAAAGAAGTGCAACTGTCATATGAAAAAACCTGTAAAAAGATGAATCAAGTCATGACATTCCAACACCTGCTAAATAACTGACAGAATTATTTTAACCACACAGATGCGGGTGCCTCCGTATGTTTAAAATGTGTGGTTATAAAAGAAAAAAGAAAACAACGATGACGTATGACATCCTTATCGTGGGAAGATTTCAAATTTTCAGTTCCTTGTGATTATTATCGCAAAATTAGCGGCACTAAAACTACAACACAGTTAAATAAGTGAACCTAAGCAATCAGTTAGATTAAATTGCCAAGTGCAAAAAAATGTACTAAAAAAGATGTTTTCTGAGACCTGTATTTCTCGTTCTTTTCGTTTTTTCACTATCATTTTCGACATTTTATTAGTTCTACGAATTCAGAATCTCCTTTATACAAATGTTATTTATATAAGCGAATATTTTTGTGAATTAATGCATATGCTGCTGATGAGAACAATCTTCGATCAAGACAAAAGAACCTCGACGGAAAAAACGAAAACAAAGAAACAGGTGCATTCGAACGCGCTTTCAAAATTTCTCTATTAAAAGATGTTCATGCTTTCGTTCCATATCCTTCCTTTCTATTTAGAAGAAAGCATAAACATACCGCTTTAGCATTCCCACCAATTTGCATAGCGCGCAACTGTAACCATGTCCATTTAGTATCCAAAGTAGTCGATCGTACAAAACTGATATGAACGCCTAAATTGCGATGTATCGCCGAGCAATCAATGCATAGGTAAATGCCATAAGTTACTGATGCCCATGTGGGATTACGTGCACCACAATCGAAACATTCCTGGATTACTGTCTCACGTATTATGACGTTTGAAAACATTAGCTTGAACTTATCTACTCGGAATTTCCAGCCAAAAGTTGATTGTGAATAACCCACACAAGACTATTTCTCTTTTTTGATAGTCTCTCTATCGAGTGCTCTTATCCTTTACTGGAAGCATAAAAAAGTTACATCCTCTTCATCATTACCAATCAGTACTGGTAGTACCGCTGATCTTTAATCTATTATCACTTCCAATACTTTACACATAATTCTTCGACTTCCCTTCCTGTTACCATTAAGTAACAGCTAGCAACCAAGAATTGCAAAAAATAGAGAGAAAAAAAATCTATTCAATGAATTTCTCCAATGCAATTGCAGAGAAAGATGAAGACAGTTACCCCAAAAGAACATACTTTATTGCATGGTATAGCGCGAAGCTTTCGAAAAACGGTTTGGATATCTGCCTTCAATGGAGCTTCTTCTGTTGCACCCATTTTGCTTTCCTCTTTTCATAATACAAAGTAACAATTATGTCACGAAACTGTAGTAAAGATTGAGTTACAGTTTTATACAGAGATTTGTCGAAGGGGTTTTTTTTCGAACGTAAAACTATTCCAACATAAAATGCATGAATCGAAATGGTTTTATAAAACACGTCCAAATGCCAACCACTAAAGATTCAAGCTTATCTCGTGTGGAATAGTTATCTTATTGATAGGTACCTTACTGATACGTAAGATAACTCAGATGGCGCTAAATCGTCAATATATGATGTACCGCAACACGGTTAACACGTGACAGATTGTAAATGTACAGCGCACTGGACCACTCAATTCCAGCATCATGACTTGTCGCAACATATGACGTGGTAGTTCCACGTAGCAAAATCCAAAACCGTAACGTCGACATACACGATGTGCAAACTTGGCATCCCACCTAATTTAAGATATTTATAATCCTTACGTCGACATTTGGCAGAAATTCATCCCAAATGTTTCTCCAAACCTAATGGGAACATAAAAATTAGAGGATGAAATATCTATTCCTTCCGGTTAAGCAACTAATTACATTAATGGCAGCGTATTTTTCTTTAAATTTTCAAAATGAATGGAAAATAATGATGTGAAAGAACAGTAGTAAATTAAATATAATTCATTACATCGGTATTATACAGCAATCAGAAAAATAAATATAAAATAACGAAAGAAAGTTCGAGAAGTAATCCGTAATAGAGCGAATTTGAAAAAAAAAAAAAAGAAAAGAAACGCCAAATTAATATGAATTTCGAGACGAAAACTGAATAATTTCTTAAGAGTATTTCGAACAAAGCAGTTTCTCAGAATAAGTCCACAGTGAAAATCTGTACTTTCATCATAATTTAAGCCATATCTTATATGCTGAAATTGTTACGATTCCGCGGTATGCAATGGCCGAGTTCCTGCATCTATAAGAAATGCCTATGAAGTGATGAAATCATTCCGTTAAATTTTTCAAATTCTACAAGTTTCGTTTTTGTTCTAAAAAAATTATTACTATTATTATGATTACACATTGTTAAACTATCCTTCGAAAATTGAATATAACAGCGCACCTATCATAGCTAATCCTAATCACCTGCTATCAGATTATTGCTGGTATACCAATTGACACCGCTGATGGATATAAAAATGATTAACTGTATTTTAAAATTCCACAATAATAGATTATGTTTTAAGTTAAAAACATAATTTCAATTGTAAAGTGATGAAATCAAATCAAAACAGTAAATTTAATAACAAATTTAATAAAAGTATATTTACCCTGACTTGAATTGAAGAATATTTTAGCGGAACTGAATGTGTACGAAAGCAATTGGAATTCCTGAAAACAGAATTCCATGGTACAAAATTATTACAGGATGACGGACAAAAAACTCAGAATATGATTAACGGATTGAGCGACAGCAAGTTAGAAAAGTTCCTTCGTCCATTTTTTTTTCAGGCAAGCTATGAGAATTTGAATAACATAAATCAGAATTCGAAAAATTTCGAATTGAATTAAAGCCCACGTTCAATTTCTCAAACAAATTTTGAATTCTACAAATTCTTGCGTGCATAAGAACAGGACATCATTCCCAGAAGAAATCAAAATCTAACTTTCTGGTATTGGTCCAGCTTCGCCAGACGGATTGCTACCGATGGATCCAAAGCAATTTTAGTAGATGAACTTTTAGAGTTGAGTGAGGCATTAACAATTTCTTCTTCACATTCACGGGCCACCGACTGGAACCAGTTCAAAGATGAGAAATAAGTGTGCTGACCCAATAGTACCAAGATAAATGCTACACCTAAAAATTCCAGAACGTCGAAGGACTTCCATTCGTTTTGAATAACGAATACTAAAATCAAAACTAAGAAAAAAAACCTTCGATAATTTGTGCTAAAACGAAATTTTTCGAAATTGAAAATTATTACAAATTTATTCATTTTATTCTAAGAGTGAAACATAAACAATAGACCCTATAAATTTTTGTTTCTTCATTACTTTGCTATTGAATTCCCAAGAACTACTCTCTAAAATACCAAGAATAAATCCATCATCCGTAAAGGTGTTGTTCTGTTTCGCTCTTCGTCCTAATTTCCCTTTGCAAGATAGCATTCTGTCCACGTAATTGATTGTTAACGGTGGCACAATCATGTAAAAGAAGTTCAAATGCTCATATTTCGTATTCTCGCACAATTCTGGAGCGAACGCTTCCACAAGAATCTGAAATCTAACTGACTATATTTAATTTATTTAATTATTAACTTTTAATTCATAATTCTTCCTTAAATTTATTTTTAATTTAATTTTTGCAATTCTTTTTCAATTTAATTTTTTTCTTGATTTTTTAATTTGTTAACTATTTGAGCTATTCAATTATTCTTAAGTTTTAATTTAAATGTTCGGATATTAGGGTATTTAAGTATCCAAATATTTGATTAATTAGACATTTAAGCACCCAATTATCCAAGCACTTCGATATTCCGGTATTTGATTATTACGTTAACGGCAGCTCGATCATCTAAAAGAAGTTCAAATGCTCATTTTTTACTTTTTCGATATTTCGGTATATTCAAATATGTTCGGTATATTCATGTATTCAAACATATTCAGGCATAATGGAGTAAACCTCCATAATAAGTGCTTAAATAGTTACTTGACCATTCCAGTATCTAAGTATTCTAGCATTTGAATGTTTAGATGTCCAAGTATTTAAACAGTTTAATACTTGGGTACTTAAGTACTCGAGTATCTAAGCATTCAGGTGTTTAAGTATTCAAGTACTTGAGTATTTAAGTATTCAAGTGTTTGAGTCAATATTCAAGTATTCAAATATTTCAGCATTCAAGTATTTGAGTAACCAAGTATCCAAGCATTCGAGTATTCCAATGATTGTTTGAGTGTTTCAGTATTCAAGAACTCAAAAGTTTGAGTATTAAAGCACCTGAGTATTCAAGTGTACGAGTATTTAGGCATTCGAGTATTTATGTATTTGAGTATTTGGGCATTTAAGTACTCGAGTACTTAAGTATTTGAGCATTTAGGCATTTAAATACTCGGGTGTTTGAGCATTCAAGTACTTGAGTATTCAAGTGTTCAGGTATTTCAGTATCCAAGTGTTTAAATATTTGAGTATTCAAGTATTTCAGCATTTAGATATTCGAGTATTTAGGTAACCGAGTATTTAAGTATTCAAGTTATTCAAACATCTAAGCACCTAAGTATGCTCAAATATTCAGGCATAATAGAGATTTAGAAAATATTTAAATAGTATTTATAGAAAGGGAGGATACATTGATAATACTTGAATTAACAGATTGATATGATTATGGTTGAAAACCTGTAAATAGTTGTCCGATTGATTAATATTCTTTTTTGCCACATCGAAAACATTATCCAGTACTCTAGCAGCATTGATAGTTTCCGATGATAGTTTTGAGTTGATTGCAAGCGGTTCGAAGGATGGGACATCATCAAGATTGGGAAGAAATCCCAAGGATTGAATACTCGCTTCAATACCACCTGATCTATAATCGTTTGGTGTTAAGTAACTTGAAATAACACTTCAGTTCTTTTGAAAATTGGAAAACAGCTAATCTTTTCTTGTAATGATCCTAATAAGGAGTAACTGGAAATGTAAAAACCCATCAAAAAACTGACCTTACGAGCCTTACGTAGCCCATGACATTTCCGATTTCAGTGATCAGAATACGCAACTTATCCAAGTACAAATCATCATCCGAAACACCAAGGAACCGAATTGCAGCGTTGAAACGTTGCGCTCGACTTACCGGATACTGAAACGTGACAGGAATATTTCCCGCCAAGTTTAACACTTCGTAAAATACTAAATAATTAAATAGGATTGTGAAAAAAATCAAAAAAGAAAATTTCAATTACTAAAGTTCACTGGGCAAAAATTTTTTTTAAACATTGGGTTTTCTAGCATATGGAAAAAAAAGTTGGAGATCACTTGAAGATCACTGGATGAATACCAAAATAAACGATTCCAATGAACTTTTTTTACATTCCTCTATTCACTTTCCTCCTTAGAAAAAACATGCAAGGAAAAAGATGAAGGAACGGATTCCGTCCACATATATCCGGAGGAGGCTAACCATTTTTCCGAGTTTTTCACCATTCTCATGAAAATATCGCTCATCCTTAATCAACTGATTCCTAATACGATCATCGTATAAGAGTTGCGAAAAAGTGTAGAATTTCTTTTTGAGAAACTGATAAGCATGATTGATCTACAAATGTATTGTGATTAGCGAAACATTAGATTGATTATATTTTTAAGTTCTGTAAACAATTAAATTGGCTTAAATTTTTACACCACAATTTCATCATTACAAAAATTCTCGAAGTCAATACTGGGAATTTGAAAGTGAAGAAATTCAAGCATTAGTGAATCCTGGATTCATAAAAGCTAATCCTTAAATGCTTTATCAATCGATCTATAAATACATTTATGAACTTTCTTTTTTCATTCACCCTATTCATTATCTAAAAATTTTAGGTTGAAAAATGACTTAGCTTATGAAAGAAAATGGAGAAAATTCATAAGTTTAATCATACCATCGTATGCATAATACCCATACCATGGGTTCGTATCGAATTAGCAACATGTTCAGCAGTTAGTATGGTTAATTGCTTGCTTTTACTGTCTTTTTCGATAAAGAACTGAAACGAAAAGTAAACTCTTAAGTTGCATAAAAGGCAAAAAAATAGGGAAATGAATGGAGGACAATGGACAAAATACTTCTAATATAACATTTTTGCATTGTAATAAGGGATGAGAGTTTGAAATTTGCATATCTTATGTGTTTTCCTTGAATCGCTTTAAATCGATTTGCTGGATTAAAAAAAAAAAATTGAAGGTATGGGAATAAATTACATTATTAGGCCTATACTATATCTTACAGTTGAAATGAAAAATTTTTAACTACTGAATTATAACTCACTTTCAACATTTCAAATTTCAATAAAGTTAATTGTTAAAATTGTAATTTTTGAGTTATAAATTAGGAATTACAGAATTATACAGTTAGCTGGAGCAAATGCGCATTTGATCACAGATTACAAATTTATAATGTGATCGCTAAATCGTCAAAAATTTTTCACCTAAAGGTTTTAGTTAACTCAAATAGAATACCTTACAAATGATGAGATATCTAGTTTGAATTTGTGTCAAACTTTAAAATCCACCTAAAAATTTCTAAAGACATCTGAAATATGAACCTGTTCATTTAAATTATAGTCATAATTTTCCACAAATGAGTCGATATTTCGTGCAACAAATAATACATCTGGACCTTGATCAAGTTTTTGAAATGGTAGACGACTCTGACATAAGATTAAATTATACTTTTGTTTAGCCAACAAGCCCATTGTCATGTAGGTGTTCGAATCATGCAAAGCGACAGCTGTCAAATTGTAGAATGTACTTTCCAAATACTTCTCAACATATCCTAAAATCTCGACAAATTGAGGAGAGGGAGAGTTCAATTTTTGTTAAATATCTCAGAAATAGTTTGGTATGTTTTTTTTCTTCAGCCACTAAACAATTTGTACAGTTTTTGCGACTTTCGCCTTTAATCTCATTTTTATTAAGTTTGTTGAATTTTTTTTCTTATTTTTTCCTAACTTTTTTTCACTGTTTTTTCTGTTGTTAATTTTTTTCTATTTTTCTTTTCTTTTTTTTCTGACATATTACATTAATGCTTGAAAAATCCTGGTAGTAATAATTTTCGTGTTACTAGCAGAATATCCCGATGGTGTATTAGTGTTACTATTCAAAAAATGACAATTACGTTTCACATCAATCAATCGATCAAACAGTTGCACCGCGGGCATTTGCAATAAATGAACTAAACGCATGTTTGTATCATGGATCGGATCCTTCGGTGTACGATCGTCCAGTTGGAGATGAGAATGAAAGGTTAACCGTAAATCTGTTTCTACTGTTTCACATAGTTTTTTCAAATACAACTAAAATGGTTCCATTATATCCATTTCATTATTTCATTGTATTCAAGCTTTAAAAAAATCAGAAAGAAAATAAAGTGTGAAATTTTCACACGAAAAAATTTCGATAGGTGTTTTATTTTATCGAAATTTAAATTCCCAAATAGCATAGCGTTTTTAGCAATGAAATTGAAAGAAAAGAAAAAGAGGAGTGGAAAGAAAAGAAACTGAATGACCGTTATTCTTTGAATTACAAATTCTCATTTGAAATGATAGCTATTTTGTTCATGGAAACTGAGATTTTGGTTATAGAAAAGCTTTAATGGAAGAAAATATTCAAACAGAAATATCTTACCCGGATATTATGGCCAATACATGTTTTCGATTAATGAACCAATTAGAAATATAACACATCCTTTTATTTTTTCAGTCTTACATGATTCACACTACTTTCTCATTCGAATTCTAACCTTTTCGTACAACTCATATAATTCCTCTCGCACCGATTCCTTGATCTTTATATCAAATTCGTTCTCATCTGAACCCAGTATTGTTTCAATGTCATTGATTGCATCGAAGAAAAACTGCAGAAAAAATTGAATTTCAAAATGGAAATTAGCATGTAAAATTCTGAAGCATGCAGAAGTAAAAAGAGCAACATAAATGAAAGGTCATGACACTACACTTGCACTTGACGTATTTTTATATGATGAAAACGTTGGAAAGTGATCCAATCGTACTTCCAAGTTATGTGTTAATCTGATGCTACGAAAGATACACATCTGAACAAAAAAAAAAACCGAACAAACCTCAGGTCGTGAATTGTTATTTTCAATGATTGCGCTAAAATATGCAGCGATGAATGACCGATGCCAGAATAAAAATGAACAATTACAGGTGCGAGAAACAATATTTCCCAATGATGAAAGAGTTTCCAGACGTACAAGTAATTCGTCCACCTTTTCAGCATCACTTCCACGAAATATTTTCTGTAGAATAATCAACAGTTTAGTAAATTCTCAGTGAAGCAATTATTTTCCATAAACTAATTCCATATGAAATTATGCAGAAATGAGCAAGTTTGTAAGCAAGTTAACAAATCTACAAGTTGTAAATCACACTGCGACATAATAAGCTTAATAAAAAACAAACCCAACTTACATGTAAGATAAAAATATGATAAGAAGCACATTTGAAATAAATTAGAATAGGGGAAAAAAGTTACCGTATAACAAGCCATGTCTAATGCTGTGCCTGCAACAGCCAAACTGGTTCGCGAAACTGAAATGTCAAAAATTAGCTCATTGAAATAATACCTTTAAAAAAGTGAGAAAATTTTAGAAAATGTACGGAAGTAAAAAGAATCTTTATTTCTTCAAATTCAATTTATGTCCATTTAGGCTATAAAATGTAAGAAAATTGTCCAAAAATTTTGCTAAAATAAAGCGAAAAAAAAAACACTTACTCAAACCTGAAAGAGCATTCTCAGCAACAGTTAATGCAGAAAGTTTGTCAACGGTACGGTAGGAAAAATCGGATTCGCTACGAATTGTCTGGTGCACTGTGCTGATCAAATGAATAAGCTTAGCACTACAATACTGAGCTGCTTCTTGACAACTTTCTAAAACATCATACCACCATTTCCAAAATATCTCCTCGATTTCCTATAAATGAGCAAGAAGGCAATGCAAATTTTTAGGTATATAAAAAATTAGCAAAAGAAATCATGCGATTTCATCTAAGAACTTTAATAAATTTCATATTTTCATTCAAATAAATAATATCGTGTTTATTGTCCCAAACTGAAACAGAGGAGAAAGATGGAATTGAGAAAAATCGGACAAAATTGGAAAAAGAATAATAGTTGAAAACACTGACGGTGATTTTTTTTGAATTTCAAATTTTCAACAATGTTCTTTTTTTTCTGCTCCATTTCTTATACATCTTTTTGCTAAGATATAAAAAAGTTTACCAAAGATCAGAAACGTTTGTTACAATATATGAAAATAAAGATGCCGAATAATTCAAAATATATGTTGTGAAAAAAAAAATAGTACTCCTCACTATTTCTTTTTGCAGTCTCTTATTAAAAATTAAAATCATACTTTAATCGTTTCAATTAAGCGAAAAGCAGCTGAAGCAGAACTACGTGATATAGCTTTCTGTTCTACCACCAATCTACTCATCAAAGTTTTTAAAAGACGACATATTAAATCTGCATAGCGAATACCCTGCAAAACACTTTTTCGTTATTCAATATTTCCGATTTTGAATCTCTTTTTCTTTCTTTGTTTTGAATTCTTGCAATAAAAATAGAAAGATTCAGAAACCTCTCGAATTTCTCAACCAATAATTGTACAAATTTTTATCAGTATTTAATATTTTAGTATGAAATAGATGTGTTGATGGAAATTCATGGAAATCATGAATTTCGATCAACGGATCAGTTTTTCATTCCTGTTTTTTCTACCGTCATCTACATTGTCCCGCCCCTCCTCCCTCCTCCCAGAAAAAAAAGAAAACCGTCTCATTTAGATCGGCAAGATGGTAGCCTGGTGCATAATAAGTTAATTTGATGTATAACACTCATTCCCAAACATTATTCTGAGAGAAATACGATTCAAATGTCGTTGTATAAAAAGCAATTTACTTTTTGCTTTAGACAAAAAAAAAAAAAAAAAAGAAACGAATAAATAAACTACTCGCAAAAAAAGTGAAATTCGTTGTGTCAATTGATCTTTCGACATTCGTTCCGATCTCTCCTTCAGTTTTTCGTTCATATCACATTTCCATTCGTCTAACTGTAACATGAAAAATATGAATTATTTTGCAACAAACAGAAAACTATTTACGTTTTAAGTTCCTTTTCCTTCTTTTTTTTTTTTTTTTTTTTTAGGATGGATGACAACAATAATCTTTTTCATCCAAATAATTCATGAATT